GATGTTGTTGTTGTTGTTTCTGACGTTGTACTGGTAGTCGAACTAGTGCTAGTTGATGTTGTTGTTGTCGTTTCCGACGTTGTACTGGTAGTCGAACTAGTGCTAGTTGATGTTGTTGTAGTTGTCTCAGAAGTAGTGCTGGTAGTTGAAGTAGAGCTGGTGCTGGATGTTGTTGTTGTCGTTTCCGAAGTAGTGCTGGTAGTTGAAGTAGAGCTTGTGCTGGATGTTGTTGTAGTTGTCTCAGAAGTAGTGCTAGTAGTCGAAGTAGAGCTGGTGCTGGATGTTGTTATTGTTGTCGTCGACGTTGTAGTAGTAGTTGATGTGGTACTTGTAGTCGAAGTAGTGCCTACGGAGGAAGCTCGGTTATATCTATTCGTTGTCATGATTGCTCGAGGGTTGAGCAACGCTTGAATCGGTGACAAAAATGACTATTTCTAGCAGAAAAATGACCTCTTCCCTATGACAAACCTAAAGAGGGATGTAGTCAGAACTAAATTAAATTTGATGCAATTACAAGAAAAATGATCTTTTTCAGCGCAAAGATGGGTGCGAAAAAATTTAAAATGATTCAGTACATCAGAAAGATATATTAGCACTCCTCAAATATATAGGCAATATGTAGCGGAAAAATGAAAATCAAGCAGAAAAATGATCTTTCTCAGCGAAAAGATTGGTTAGAATAGTGTTAAAGTGAATTAGTATAGGAGGAAGATATATTATCAGACATCGAATATACAGGCAGCCTCTAGCAGAAAAATGGTCTTTTTGAGCGGAAAAATGAGTCAGAAGAGTGTGAAAGTAATTTGGTACAGCATGAAGATATATTGTCAAACTTCAAATATACAGGCAATCTGTAGCAGAAAGATGATGTTTCTCAGGAGAAAGATGGATTATAATGGTGTTAAAATATTAGTTATCTCAGCGGAAAAATGAAACTATCTTTGCGAAAAAATGATCGCTGCTCTCGGAATAATGCTGTGATGCAGAGGAATAATGCTTTGAGTTTGACAACTAGTATTTCGATTTAGGTGAAGATATTATAATTTTCTCAGCCGAAAAATGAAAACCGATGAGAAAAATGAATCAATCTATGAGAAAAATGACGATTTTTCTCAGAATAATGGTATAATGCAAAGGAATAATGATTCTTTTGCGTTGATGGTCGTTATTATTTTCACAATAGAGAACTCTTTCACTAGTGAGCAGTGCTATTAAGTTGCTTAGTGGATTTTCGATGGATTTGTTTAATATTCGTAGGGTTTGGTTCGTATTTTAATGGATGATTGTTGTTTTTGTTCACGTGATTCCCCTGTTTCGCAACTAATTCCTTTTTTTTTGCTTTTGACAATAATGGCTTGAGAACGGCAGATATTTATGCGTATTGGTAGGATTATTGATTTTCGTAGTGAAATATGACAATTCATAGTCTAGATTGGATAATGAAGTAAATTTGCAATATATAATTCCACCAGGTAAAGGCATATTTTTTCCACTCTAGGGAAATTATGTATTCTGCTAGAAATTCATCTTCTGTTTTCATTCAGGTTCTACTAGTGTACGTTTAACTCGCCTAGTGTTTTGATTGTCTTAATAGAAAGTCAAGTCTTCATTTGTAACGGTAGACATTTTATTGAAAATGACTTTTTTTTATGGAATACGATAAATATATGATAAATTCATGTATCCGACCGAAAGTGTAGTGAAGCGTTTCTTCCTGCCATCCAAACAGAATAAATCACAAGGAGAAAAATTTTCAGCAGAACATGAAAGTTCACTGAAGAAAAGAACATAGTATCGTGCGTTACATATACCTAATAGCGTTATACCTATGATTTTAGTAGTTGGATATTTATAGAATAGAATAATCTATCTCTTTTAAATTTATCGAAATATTTCTTCTATGTATCTGAATGAAATAGATATTGTGAAAGAAGACATCTTAAACCGAATAGAAAAGTTCTCCTGTGCATCAAATATATTCATTACATGTCTCTATCTAATTCAATAGTTGTATAGCGTTTCTTGTATTCATTTAAGCAAAATAAGCTATACGAAAAGAAAAGAATCTTTTTCAAAACAGAAAAGTCCGCTGAAAACAGAAAGCTAAATGTACACCAGCAATAGAAGACATGGCGAACGTATGCGTTTTGTCCTTTGTTGTAATCGTATGTAAACAATACCTCGATATATACATATATCTATCTTCCATACTAATGTATCCACAAAGGAAAGGAAAAGGCATTTTTGACCCGAACGACATTGTTTTGGTTAGATATGAGCATTGTTCTCAGCGATCGAAGAGTTACCTACTGCTGGATTGCTCGGTTCTAACTATGGATAAAGTTACTTTACCGAAAGCAAGTTTTCGCGACTTCAAAGCGAAACTCCGTTTCAATGTGCGAAATTAATTTGAAAATACAAGGCTTCAATTGAAGTCTTGAGAAGAAAACACAACACTGTTTTTTTGTAAAATGTCCGATACTCGCTTTCATGTCTGATCTCACTGGTGAGAAAACCGTTTGTAGTAGTTCAAAGGATTTGGCCTAATTTTTTGCTTGGAAGTAGCAGATCTGTAGATCAGAAAAGCCAAAGAGGATATAAACTCATGTTGCGATTCAACTGAGATACAAAAGTTTTATTCAAATTTCGCCTACAGAACTTTGATATGTTTAGTAAAACCATTTTTCAGGACTTCAATTTGAAACTTTGTCCATGTCTCTAGCATAACTAGATAACCTTGTGCAAAAAATTCTTAGAAATTTTTGGACGTAACATCTCTGAGATTTTAATTTTTGAAAACATAAAAAGGCGCTGACTTACAAGTGCTGTGTAAAATAGGTGAACTTTGAAAATTGAAATCTCCGGAAAGTTAGTCCCGAAAGTTTTTGAAATTTTTTATGCAAGGTAGTCCACTTAAGGTGCTACTATGAATAAAGTTCCGAGTCTAAACTCGAACACTTATTTTTGCTAAAGCCATAAGAGTTCTGCGAGACAAATTTGAGCAAAGCTTCTATATCTTAGTCGAACTACCACATGAACTTTTGTTCTCTCAGGCTATTCCCCGTGACACGACATTTGCGCGCCGATATTTTCGCGCACGACTCTAACGCGCAAAACGAGTTTTTTGTGCTGCTTTTGTATTATCGGATCAATTAAACTCATGACTATGAATAAAAAAAAGGTATTCCGCTTATATTTTGTAAGTTTATTTTAATACTAAGTTAAAAGAGTTTTGTCCTGTGCTATGTTTATACTTTTTTCTTTTTTACCGAAGCTACATTTGAAAAAAGAATTTCTTGAAAATAGCATTAGTCATCGTAAAATGAAAAATTTAGCGGCTTTAGCTTTTATTACACCGCAAAATGTTATTGAAGAATTTGTTCGCATAAAAGAAAATGCTCTAGATGTTTTAGATGGTAAAAAGATATTGCTAAGATGCTGAAGAACTTAATCTAAGATTTTTAAATTAAAAATCATTTTGCGCGAAACCGTCGGCGCGCAAGTGTCGGCGTAAATGTCGTACAACCCTATTCCCCCTACAGATCTACTACTTATGGGCAAGATATCGGATCTAAGCCTTTGAAAAATTCAGGAGGACAGGTCTTTCCTTAGCTTTGGTACTTTTATCCAGAAATAACATGTGCATACGATTGAGGCAGTCTTAAATGATCAATTTGTTAACATCTTTCTGCCGTCATCCCATAAAGTCTCACAAGATTTGTCAGGAAGCATTCACCGATTGTTCACAAGGATTATTTGTAGACAATATTTTCTTTTCAATGATTCCAATCTTGATTGTGGGAATCGCAACGGCCGAAATTCCATACTTCTTATTGGAGTTAAATATGTTGAACAATGCCTGGATTTAGAGAAGAGGCTAAAATCCTTCTTTGATAATCTTGAGTATTACTCCTTGCTCGCTGTCCAGCCAATAAACTATGAAAAAACCGAAGCTCTATGGTCAGCTAGAGCATGGGGGGAATAGGGTTGTACGACATTTACGCCGACACTTGCGCGCCGACGGTTTCGCGCAAAAT